CAGATTGGCATGTTGCAACTAATTCCATATAGTAACACCCAATAATGTCTTTTCCTATTGAAAAAAATCAACTTTGTTCCAGCAGAACAAAAAAAAAAAAAAAAAAAGAGGAGTGGCTTCATGGGCAGACGATGCTGTGAAGTCTTCGTCTCAAGGAGGGGAGGAAACCTCCAAGTTTCTGCCACGTGTGTGAGGGTTACACATGTCAGACAGATCAGATCCCTAGCCAGTGCTAGGATCCCAGCATGAGAATACCATGATTTAGGGGTTTGAGCTTCCCAGGCCCACCAGAGCAGGGCTGATGTGACTAAGCCAGCTCACTCATTGCATGCCTACCCCATTTAGAAATCAGTCACCTGTCCAGGGCAGTTAGTCCACAGCAAAGAATTCTTGGCTCAGAGTTTGGCATACACTGCTTGCTCAGTACAGCTGCCTCAGGCTTCAAGATGTTTTTACTGTGCTCAACCTCAGCTACCAGTCCAAGAAATTAAGAGCGATTCAGGTCAAGGCGCTGTTTTGACAACACTGCAGCAGAAATGATTAATTTAGTCTTGAGAGCCTTGTTCTCACCCACATCATTTGTGCTGCTGTGGAATGACATTAGAAGGGGAGCCAGCAGAGAGTGGCTAGGCGTTTTCAGATAACGGGCCTCTCTCAGGGCTGGTGGAGGCACGAAGAGAGAGGAAAAAAGGGGTCACCATACATTAGCTACAACTGGCTAGGAAGAGACAGGACTTGCACAAGGCTGACGGACTGGAAATGAATGAAACTTTTCATGTGCACATTTGTCTCTGTAGGAGGGGCCTCTTGCTCCATCAGCTGCATTTGAATGAATTACTGTGTTAATGTTCCCATAGGAATTATGGGACAGCCATTAGAGATCCAAAAATAGCTCTTCACTGCAGTCACAAGACCCAGTCTGACTTCATTTTTTCAGATATATTTTGTCCACGCGTCCCATAGGATACACTTTTATTGTGCCAGATTCCTGCTCGGCTTGTACCATCTGCTTCTATTTTGGCCCTTCAAACCTGGCGGCTGAGCCCTCTTCCTGGGAGCCAACAGAGCCTTGGTTGTAGGTACTGTATTAATAAAAGCTTTGTCCAACAAGGAAAGAGTTTTAAGTGCATTAGCTTAAAGTCTCCAAGACTGTCTATTGGTTGCATTTAAGTATAGTTCCATGCTAGCTATCATTAAAGCAAATGAACAGAAAGTTGAGGGTGGAGATGTGTTTGTGTACATAAAATTGCATACAAATTGAATTTAGGCCAATGTGAGTACAACAGTACATGCAAAGTAGGTACTGTATATAGACTTCTGCAAGAAGAATGCTTGCTTCAACCTTCTAGAAGTCAAGCCTTCACATTGCTACTTTAAGAGCAAATGTATCATGATACGTTCATTTTCCTGACATGCACTGGACTCATGAGGTACACAAGTTCAGTTGAATATCTAGACAGAACTAATAGTCTATTGCCTGGAGTAGGAAGACATCAGTGTTTTAAGTTTACAGACCACAACAGCTGGTGGGGAACAGAGGCAGGAATCTTACAATAAAGTTTAGAAATCACTGGTTAATCTTTCCTGCAAAGTTCTGCTGAACTCTATGTTTACATTCTCTTAGTACAGAGCCTTTTATAGCTGGATATCCAGACTGTTTTCCAGTGATCATGAGAGCATTTCAAAACAGAGCTGAGTACCAAATCTATGCTCACTTACTTTCGGATAGAAGTTTTGATTTAAGTGCACTAAAATCTTGCAAGTTAGTTCATGAGCTTTCTACTGTTAAGGGCCACCTTCTGAAGAACAGTCCCCTTCTAGGAGCAGGATCCAACTAGGGACCAGTTTGAATGCTCAGGGATCTAGAGACCCATGGTTAGATTTAAAATTTCATGTCAAGCTCATCTCCACCACAGTCCAAAACTAAGTTGAACATTGGTACAGAAGAGTCATGTTGAAATTAAGGGACTGCCCGTCCACTGTCCAAGAAAATACTAATAAAGCAACAGAGTTCCAATTCTGGTTTTACAAGTCCTTGCCTCTTATATCCAAGTGCTGTGGTTCTTCTAATTGGAATTCAACTCTGCAGGACAGATGGAAGATTTTGTAGCTTAGAATAACGTGGCTTGTATTGCAGGAGCATTCATGCTTCATTAGCCCTGTCCACTTGTAAAATACTAAGCTCAGGCACTCAATAGACTAGTGTACAATTTCCCATATAGAAAATCTTTCACAATCAGCAGGAGGGGTGGGTCAGCAGTGCCAGTCACAGAAAGCAGTAAGCTAATGGTTTTGTTTGCATCCTGTTAGAGGGGTTTCCTCTTTCATTGTCAGTGTTTGATTTTACTTTAAACTGTACAAGGCTGTTTAATTTTCTATCACTGTTCATATTTAGTAATCCATACCACAATATGACAAATAGTTTCCATCCCAGTGCATTAGTCGGAGGACTACAGTCTAGACCTTCATTCCCCACTGTAGCCCAGTTTACAGGCAATGTAAACAAGTGTTGTCCTTTGTACATTGTTCATATAACAATTTGCTTCTGAAGATTGCCAGCATGTGGTTAGTGTCCTACTAAAAAGGTGACCACCCACTTCTTTCACTCCACCCAGCCAGCCAAAGACTGTAGGGTAACAGAGGGAGAAAGTAGCTTCTTACAGTCAACTAGGCTGTCAGTTAGGCCAAGCAAGTGTAGACAGAACAATAAGAAGCTTGCGGGTATTTGAATAGGACCAGACCCACTACAGAGAAGCAAGAGTGCTGAGAGCCAATAACACTTTGCAGATACAGTAATTTGCAAAACTTAGTACTAAATGCAACTTGCAAATGTTAATGGAACTCCCAGCAACTTGAATGCTGCAACCAACCAGTTTGCCCTCCAATGTTAGGGTCTAAACAAACATTTACTGCAGGTCTGCACTACAAACCTGCATCGGCCGATGCAGCGCTTCTGATGAAGACACTTGAAGTTGACAGGAGATTGCTCTCCAGTCAGCTTAATGCCAACTCCGCAAGAGGCAGTAGCTATGTCGATGGGAGAAGCTCTCCTGCTGAGACAATCCTGTCTATATGGGAGTTAGGTCAGTATAAAGGACATCACTCAAGGATGTGGGGTTTTTTTACACCCTGGAGCCACAGTTATACTGAAATAAATGTGGAGTGTAGACCTGGTCCTAGTATCGAACGCTGGAAAAACCCAGCTCACGGAATATAGTTAGGACAAGCAGGGCACCTAGATTCTGACTAGTTCTGTCCATACAGATCTGGAGGTTTTGGAGTTTAAGAGGAGCCTAGAAGAAGGGAGTTATTGGCCTAACTGGATTATATGGTGTTTCCTGCGGTGACCTATTAACACCATTATTGCAGAGGCTGGTTGTGCGCTTTCATGATGAAGCAGGGTTTGAGGACTCTTCTTGTTGAAGTGTACCCACTCTCTAGAAGCCCCAACTCACTCATGAACCATGAGCATCCTTACAACCTTTAGAGCCACTCAAACAGCTATTTCACATGCAGCCATGTAAACAGAGCACAGCATGTGGAACCAGAGTTTTTTGGATCAAATACACCACATTTTCCCTGTCCAGAGGGTTTGTTTAGGTTGGATCTAACATGTTGATGCACTCTTTATGCTAGTATATTTAAGGCCCTTTTAAAGAGCTAAGCATGCAACGGTGCACCAATTTGCATGCATACCTAAAACCTACACATACAGTTGCTGTAATAGCATCTGCAAGTAGAAATATATAAAATATAAAAAACTGCCCTGTTCTGCACAGATCAGGCATACACATAAACCAGCCACTTGCACGCACAAGTTCTCATATCAGACTTTAATAGTATGTCTCCCACAAGGTAGTTAAAGGGTGGAAGTCTCCATTTCAGAGGACTGGGAAGGTACAATTACTCAAATGCTCATTCTTTGCATATCTCAGGCGATGTAGAAAATGGATTGAGACAAGCATTGAAATGTTGGTTAATCAATAGGCAAATATCAAAAGATATACAACAGCTCTCCACATCCAGCAATATTGTTTTAATGGCCCATAGAGCTAGTCACTAGAGCTGGTTGAAAGTTTTGTCAAAAGTTTCTCATCTGAAGATGCTGCTTAAGCTGAACCAAAACATTTTGCAAAATTATATCAATTTTAATGAAAATCTTTGTTTTGAAAAAAAAAAAACATTTTCAGAAACAGTAAAACACAATGTTATTTTTGGAAAGAAAGTTTAGATTTTCCATAGCAAAGTAGTTTCATTTTAAAAATTTGCTTTATTTTCAAAAATAAAATTTAGAACCCTGTCATTTGGAGGGTGTTAAAAAAACCACAAACACACACACCACAAACACTTTACTATTTTAGCTTTTGCAATTTTTGTGGGATGGAAAAAAAATCCAGTTTCTAGCTAATTCCACTAACCAGTCATTTTAAGTTATATCCTCCTACCAAAGGTTCTTCAAGTGCCAGAAGCTTATACCACTGAGTATGAAGATTAAGGTTTTGTGGGGAGAATGGGGAAATAGACTGTCTCATATGGCACATGGCAAACAGTTTAAAATAGCCTGATTTAAGATAATTCTTTGTTTATACTGCACAAAAGACTGAAGTGCCACAAACAACTCCTCCCATCTGCTCTAGGCAGACTGCTTGTGGGCCAAGTTGCAGATCTGTCAAAAGAAACTCCAGGGTTAGATTGTCCACTAGGGCTAACTTCCCCCTGGCATAGCCCATCCCCAAGAATGCTACATGATCAGGATTATGTAAAAAACCAAACAAACAGAGGTACTTGGTTAATACGATCAGATATTAAGATGGAAATTAAATTTAGACAAATTGCTCCTGCCAAGCCAACATTCTAGACCATTGACTTGTTCTCACTACAGCAAGATTTATTATCTCAGATTATGGAAAGGCTAGAAATTTGCAACCTAGCTTGGACAGTTTCATAGTTGACTATTACCTAACCAGCCAACTATGCTGTCCAGTCAACAGAAAGCTTACCTGATATGATAGGCCATCCTTGCGGGGACTTAGCCCAATTTCATCCATAGATGTAGTATTCATCATCACTTCAGTCATTTCAGCTGATCTCAGATAATCAGGGCTGGAAACAAAGAAAGATACTTTTTCAGCTCTCATGGAGCCATTAGATCACTACGGTCCTTGAACAAGATTATGTGGTATCTAAAAACTAAAGCTTTATACGGCTGCAGAGCTAGTCACAGATAAGAACCAAAATGCTAAACCACTAAATCCTATTTCTGTTCTTCCCCCATCCCCTTCTTTGTAAGGGAATCAAAAATTATTCACCTAAAGAATCAGTACATATCATGACCCAAAAAGTAGTTTGCAGGATCTCACTTCGAGCAATACAAGATTTCACCAAGACTGATTAAAATTTAACTCCACTTCCTCCAACTTTACCCTCGAGTGTAGGTTAAAAAAACCCAAACCAAGCACTAGCACTTACTGTTTTTTTCCCCCCACAGCTTTAAAAACTAATCAGTTTTAACTCCTACGACTTATTTTACTACTTCAGGGATTTCCACACCAGTTGAGTATGAGATATGCCAATTGTAGCTCTGCTTTTGCAGTCATAATGAAGTTTCCAGCTCGACAATTTGAGAAAGTCAAGTTGATTTTCACAGCTTGTAGTTCCTCTATTTTACATTATGCTGTTGCTTAAGCCTATTTATAACCACAGTACTTTGTATTTGCACACACAAGCCAACTCACATTTGTCACCAAAATATTGACTATCCCTTGCACCTTGCTCCTATGAAGTCACTTGAGACAAGTTCACATTGCCCTTCTAATGCCACTCCAGCTTACTATGCATGAAACAGCACAATGAGGGCTTTCAAAAGCATCCCAAAGCACAAGATACACAGGTAAGCAGATATATAACGATAAGCACAGACAAAGGCTTTGTTTACAGTGGCAAAGTGAGACAATATGATGCACCAGCTCTTATAAGTAGCAGCGGTGGAAGCTGTAGCATTAGAGTTGATGCATGTTTCATTATGTCAGATACCCCACTCAGGCATAACAACTTGTGGAGCCACATCATTGTCTGTGTCACCTATCAGGTAACTGGCAGAGAGCTGGAAAAAGAGTGTTCTTTTCCAAGCTCTCACTAAGTGGTACATCAAGAACCTTGCTGATGGGAGATCTCGGCAAGTGCACTGCAGTTTAGTATACAAACTCCCTAGCCTAAGCTAATGGTAGTTTGTGTACTTCCTATCCTCTGCTGCAACATACCAGTCCTGGGAGTGAGAAGTTACATAGAGCCATTTGTTTGATGAGCTGGAGCTCTCAATTTTCCAACTCTAGATGGGTTAAAAAGGATACTAGTACATCAGCACAGGATTAGTAAAAACAAAGGTTTTTGCAAAATCCAGTATCTACATGCATGTTTCTAGGACTGTCTTCTATTGTACTTAAAAATCACATTTGCCTGCAACCATCCCCCAAAAGCGTTTGCAATCCAAACTATTGCATGAGCTACAGAGTCTATTTTCATCAAGGGAATCGAAATAAAGGAAGTGAACAAGAATGTTGTTGAAATGTAGTCAGATGTTTAGATCCCTCAGCTCTAATAATACAAGGTATTAACAGGGGAGGAAGGCTGCTTAATCCAGTGTCCTTTTACAACTCCCAGAAGCAATGTTAAGGATATTAAACAGGGTGATTTTTAATTTGGAAAGAAAGGTTAGAGGTGCAGCGTAAGTTCCAGTGTTATAACCTGAGCAACCCTTCTATAATTCAGCTCAAATGGAAGATAAGCAAGAAAGTCATAAGCAACTGAAAAGAGGGGTTTTAGGGCCTCAATTTTAGCTGCCCCATGGCTACCTGGCAATAATAAAGAAAGGTGACAAGCTCAAAGTTCCCAAGCAATCTGCTTTAACATGTAGCTCTAGTCCAGGGCTATTCCAATTTCAGTCCTCAGATGGACTTGCACACATTGTTCAAAGGATGCACTTGAAAAGGAGTGTACAGGCAATAAGGGAGCCTGGCCCAGCCTGTGCCCACCGTTATATAGGTGTAAATCCAGAGGAACGGGCAGTGATACCAATGGGCTAAATTCATCCCAGGAGTAACTGCTGAATTCAGTTGCTTACTCGGATATAACAGAACACAGTCTGGCCTTCTGAAGTTATTGGGGTAGGAGTGGGGGGGAGGATGCAGGGCAACGGGAAGGCTGCTACACCATCTCCCTAAGGAAGGAAGTTGGAGTTAGGATAAGCAGCTGCAGCCAAGCTGTTTGCCTTGTCAGTTTCCCCAGCTGACCTGATCGCCTCTGCCTTGGCTGCTGGTCCCAGCGCCTGATATTGCTCAGGCGCAGCGCAAGAAGGATGGTAACCGGGTGCGAGATTGCAAGCCGCCTAGCAAGTTCCAGCTGCTCGGCAAACACACCCGGAAAGTATTTCCGCCTGCCTTCCCCGGCATGATCCCTGCACAGTCCCGCCCGCTCTCTTCTCCCAAGCCAGGGAGAGGATAAAGAGGCGCTTACGAGTCACCGCAAGGGGGGAGGGAGGTGAAAGGATGGGACACTGCAGCCGCTACAGCAGGAGATCAACGGCAGCCAGATCGCTTCTGCAACACCCCTTCCCCTCCAACTCGCCAGCGGGGCTCAGGCCACTGCTAGCGCCTGTTGCAGCTTCCCCAGGGCAGCCTCACAGACTCCCAAGGTGAATAAAAACCCTCTCTCCGGCACAAGGCTTTGCAGCCCTGGCGGCAGCTCACGCATCCACTCGCAAGTGGGCTTCCGAACCAACCCACCCGCCCCCCCCCCCCAGCACAATCTCCAGGACCCACTAGATTTTCGGAACTGGGGCGGGTAGGTGAAGACCTGGGCACGTTTTCTAGCAAACCTCCCCCAGCCCCTCTGCACGCTTTACTGCAGCCTCCAAGCTCACTTCCTTTGTTTCCATTCCCTCACACCTCCCCCCTCTCCCGTCACAACCTTGACTGTGACTTCTGCCTGCAAAGCCATTGCAGGACGAATATCACCCCCCACCTCCCCTTCAAAAGTTACCCCAGGCACAGCCAAAGCCTTAACCAGCTCCCAGCCCGCCAACCACCCCCGGGGAACCCGCAAGAGGGTACTCACCAGTGAATGGGAAAAAATACAGACATGAAGTCCTACCACAAAGGCTGACAAGCGTCTTTGGGATGCAAAAACGGGGAGCAAAGGGGTCCAGTGGTTTTCCCTGAGAGCAGTGAGAGATGGCCGGGGGCACAGCAGCCCAGCGGGGAGGCTACGCGCTGATCGGCTTTTAACCCCACAAGCCAAAAGACACACTGCCAGCTACCACTACAGCCCTAAGCCGCACCAGCAACCCGGGAAGGCGCTTATATAGAGGAAGGGGCGTGGCTTTGTCCAGAGCGCCCGCCCCCTCCTGTGGATGACGTCACCAAAATCATGAATGGTTTCGTGCTTCCAGCCCGCGGCGAGCAGCCGCTCTGGGAGCCGGGCTGGCGAGCGCCGATTGGACACAGCTGGGCTTCGCTGCCATGGCATCACCGGGGCTCGGGCTGCTGCAGGTTGTTATCCAGCCCAGCTCTCGCTCGGGACGCGACCGAGCCCCTCTCGCCTGGGCTGCGTTTCCAAGCGGGCGGTGGGTGTTTGGGTTTGCACAGAAATGAGAGATCAGGGCGGCTCCGCCTTTGCTAAGTGCTTTGGTAGTGAGTCTGCACGAGACGTTTACACGCTCACTCCTTTTTTAAAAAAAAACAAACCCATTCATTGAAACTGTGACCGGCAGCACAGGCCCACGAGCTAGTCAAGCACAGCTCCCTCATCTCTGTCACATCCACCCGCCTGGTTCTCACCAGACTGCGCTGTTAGTACCAATCACAGCAGCCACTCCTCCCCCTTTCAGATTTCTGCCTTACTCCCCTGTTTTCTTTACCTTGCTGCCTCCAAGTGTACGCTGAAGAGAAGAGAGCACCATTGGTTTCTATTTTGGGCTGCCTAATCTGGATAGGAGCAAGGTTTAAAATAATCCATGGGAAGGTGGGAGGAGGAAGAGCTGCATGATCACAAGTTGCCTTGCTGAGTTTTTGTTTTTTTTCACCCTTGCTGTTCATGTTGGATCTTATTTTTAATGTGTTATGCTTCTTTGTTGGAGGAAGGAATAGTTTCTAGTACTGGGTTTTTTCCACTCGACGTCAATGGCACTCCCTCACTCATACACACACACACAGACACACACACAAAAAGGTTGGGCCAGACTCTGCTCTCAGTTACCTGGGTATAAATCCACAGACGCTAATCTGTTAGTCTTTAAGGTGCCACCAGACTCCTTGTTGTTTTTGTAGACGCTAATAGAGTTACTCTGCGTTTACACCAGTGTGCTGAGAGTAGCATCTGCCCACTAGTTTCCAGTAGCAATGACTGTTTTTAGGTAACAGAAGTAACAAAAGTCTGAGGTAGGGTTGACACTCTGTCCTTAACACCTCATTTCACTTTTGGTGAAATTCACCCTCAAACAGAGGGCCATCATATTGCCTGTGCACCACTTAATCTCCCTCGAACCATAAATGGAGGAATTAAATGGGATTGAAGTGGCTCTACATGGGGTGAATTTTACCCCGAGTGCCTAGACACCACTATTTGCCTTATGTAAAACCACATATTGCTGGAGACCTCTGGGATGCTTAGGCAAATTGGGGTGAGATGAGAATACCGTGTGAACCCTAACTTTGAATTTCCTTGCCGCTTTCAGGTTAAGTTAGAGAGATACGGACACTGATCCATTGGGTTTCTCCCAGCTCTATTGATACTGCCTTCCCTGCACCTCCCAAAAAAAGAGACAGAGAGAGAGAGAGAAACGATCTCTAACTGATCTCTCAAATCCTGTTGGGGAGGATTCTCTTGTTGGCGGATTACCTACAAGATAGACAGGGTATGCATGAGTGTCTGCGCAGGCAAAGATTGATTTGTGAAACTTTTAACAGGAGGGCATTGAGCAGGAAACCACACAATGGTCTCAAAACTCCCAAATGAGGCAAATAATGCCAAGCCATATTTAGCAAACAAGAATACAACCACAGCAAAATACAGGAGGAGGGGGAAAATACATTGCCTGCCTGGGAAAATTATAGAAACATTAGAACAAGGTAACAGATAGTTTAGGTGAACGGGTAAATTTCCCCAACTTTCCTCTTAAAATTAAATCACTGGGGATGAAAGTCATCCCTGGGCAGAGTGCCCCAAAAGGCCTGTGTGCCTTAAAAATTTAATTTAAACCCTAAACTGTGTGCACAAACTAATCCCACACACTAAAAATCCTTAGAAAACAGCTGAGCAAAAATAAATCACAAGGGATACAGAGTAGCAGCTACTATGTGGGTCAAATCAGACGTAGATGCCTGCGAAGTACTACCATCAGTCATTAGTCAGGCTAGGCTGCTGAGACTACCAATTTATGCAACACGTTTTTACTGTTACCCTCCCTTCCTATCCTCCATCTCCCTGTCCATCTGCTTCAGGCTTTTTTATGTCTTCTTGTAATCCTGGAGCTCACAGCCTAGGGCAGGGACTGTCTTTATTTTACCTACTTGTACAACACCTAGCACTAGACTCTGATCCTCGAGTTGGTGCGTTAGTTGCTACCATAATACAAATAAGAAAGACAGACAAAAAGAAAGTTGGTTACTAAACAGCACTCACAAATATCACCTACGGAACTGTTTTGCCTGCAACAGGCACCCAGATACTGTGCTGACAACACCAGCGTGGTATAAATTCTCAGACAGGGAGCCAGCTTTGTGCCAGCAAAATGGGTAATTGTGCGCATAAATATGAATGGTGCTTGTAGTAGTTACCGATATTGCTCCTTCAGATACATGTTATGCAGGAAAAACAGCTGCTCATACAAAAGCTTAAATAGGTATGTGTTAAACTCTAATCTTTGAAAGCTGAGTTTAAAACCAAATTTTGCCCCACCCATTCAACCCCCAAACCATAGGTGTGCGTGTTTTCCACTGAGCCTGTCGAACAGCTGAATCGCCTAGTTTAATATTGTATAATGGGGAGGTGGTCTTTTTGCATCAGGAGCCATCAGTCTCTCCTTTGTGCCAGGTTAAAGTAAATCACAAGAACCTGATCAAACCTTCCCAAACAGATTTAAGTTCTGGTGGGTGAAAAATCACCCCTGTGCAAAAGGGTAGCACTAGGCTTAACTTGATTAAATGGGACTTAAGCAGTGCATAGGCCTGATGCTGCCTGTCTCCACCAATGTTAATTTCACCCTGAAGTGAATATAATCAGTTTAACCTCCATCACCCCCCGCAGAACATATGGACACCAGTGAAGGCCAGCAATAGGAATCCGACTGATTTCATGAACAATGAATAAGACTTTGGGCCGTTTGTTTCTTAAATGTTGGAGCCAGTGAGTCGAGCAGATAGGTAAAAAGGCAAACAGTTCTCTCCAGCAGAGCTAAAACAATCAAAAGGTCTGATCTGATTATGCAAGCAGCGCAGGTGAGCAATTCCCATTCAAATCAATGGTGCTCAGGATCAGGCCCACACTTCAATTGCTCCTAACCAAATAGTCAATAGTCACTGACTTTGTTCACCCAGGACCCAATCCTGTGAGATTCTAAGGGCCAGATTTTTAAGGGCAGTAGGTACATAAAGATTCAGGGTTCAGGGAGGTGACCTAGTGGGATTTTCAAAAGTACTGAAGTGACTAAAATAAGAGTTAGGTGCCTAGGTGCTTTAGAAAATCCCGTTGGGTGCCTGACTCTTTAGGCATCTAAATACCTCTAAAAATCAGGTCCTAACTGCCCTGATCTCCCCTTGCCTCCAGCAGGAGTTGAGGACTCGCCATATCTCTTCAGATGGGGCCCTTTCTCAATTGCCTCTAATGGATTGTCAGAAATTTCTCCCTGCCCCTGTCATGCACACATGTAGAGTCTGGTTTTGTCCATTTGTATGGAATTATCCATATATAACAAAAGAAGAAAGGAAAAAAAGAAGAAAAAGAAAGTGTCCCATTTAAACGAGACACACAATTTTCTGTATCAAAAATGCTTCTTTAGTTAGCAGCACTTCAATTCTATGGCTTCCCCCTAATCCTTTTGGGCCTCACTCCCATGACAGCATCTGATTGGGGTCTTTTGTTTTTGATTTCTCAAGTACCAAGCTGACTGAGGGCTGTTTTGTGATTAATCTGACTGATTGACTCTAGACAGAGGACAAGTCTGGAACAAACAATTCAATCCAGCCCTGACTTTTTAGAAAGCAGTTTCTCTTCTCACTGGCTGTTTTTTTTTTTAAAGCAGAGCAGAGAACTCCAGGGTTTAAATCAGATTAGATTGGGTCTGTTCCACCCCATAGATACTCGGATCTTTAGGTAGTATTTGGCTCTAAGGAGGTGACCTGGGTCTGGGTCTAAGGGAGCACATACCACTAAAAATATATTTGTGTTGCTTGATGAAAATAGATACCTAAAAGTTCATGTCAACACGTGAAGTTATTCAGGAATAGCCATTGCACATTAAATTCACACCCTACCTTAATCTGCATAAATTTCCAACTGTAGACAAGCCCTTGCACTGACACCAACAGGAGTTTTGTCTGAGTAAAGAGTGAATAAATGCTGAGTACTGACTTCAGGATTTGGTCCCATATACTCAGTAGGTAGAAAAATCCTGCATAGATTTTAAAAGCCATATATGTCCTTAAGGTTACTCTACATGGAACCTCTCAGGAAAATGAACCCAAATTAACTAAAGGTGTGAATTTAAAGCAAATTCATTAAACCTCTGTGTGAACACTCTCATTCTGCATTAAAGTGGCCTTCCTTCAGTTTAGTTTTAATTCACTTGAATTAAACTAAACTATATTAAGGCCACTGTAATTCTGAATGAAAGTTAAAGTGAATTAAACTAATTCCACAATAACTCGCTGTGTAGACAAGCCCTAACACATCAATTAAAAAAAGAAAGGTCTTTAACCCTTCCATTGCTCAGTAATTTCCTCACTTGTTATTACATCCTTGAATGTGATTCTCCTCCCACTTACACTAGTGGGAAACAGGAAGGGCTGCAGTGAATCCCACGCAATTGCACAGGAGTAAAATAATATTCAGGGAGAGAAGAACCAGGCTCAAAGAATTTGGATTTAAATGAAAATGAGAACTAAACACATTCTGCCTCCCATATCCCAGTGATGAACACAGGATACACCTTAAAAGTTCCATGATTTGACTTCGGTGGACAGGCAGTTCAAGTAAAGGGAGCTTGACAGAGAAACATTTTCAGTTCTTTATTCTTTGTCTAATAGGCTCCCCAGATTCCTTCATCTCATTGTTGCACTTCTTTAAACCCAT